AGGCAGTAGCCTGGCGCCAGGTGCCGTTCCTCCGGAGCCGGAGAAGGAAGAGGACGCATGCAGGGTTAGGGTTTATGGGTTTATGGGTTTAGGGTTTAGGGTCTGGGGTTTAGGGTTTAGGGTTTAGGGTTCTGACACCATCGGTTTCCATTCGCAACAGTCATGCCTATGTCCGTATCTATATCATATAGATATATTACTAGCTCTATCCGCATCTATATGTATGTTTATATATATCTATATCTACATCTACCTCTACCTCCAAATCTCTGCCTCTATCTCTATCATTCTCTATATCGATCTATATCTATGTAACTCTAGAAACACACGTACATCTATTTGTGTCTATGGTTAATCTTATTCATGTTTTTGTATGGATATTCGGCCAGAGTCTTGATCCCCAGACAGCGAAGAACCAACAGAGCAAGTACGGCAGGAGCACCTCGTGTGCACCCATGCGCCTATCAGCGCAGCACATGGACCCCACCCCACCCCATTAGGGCGAATGACGTGTGGGCCGCCCACCTACTGTGGGCGGGCGGCGCCCTCACAACTGATCGCGAAAGGCCGACCAGTACGCCAGCCCCCTCTCCACAGCCATTGGGACCGTAGCACCCACGTCGGACCCGTGTTCTCCGACCAGCACCACTCCGTTGTTCTGGTGCAGTCCCAGAATCTTCCAGCGACCTAGCCGCCTCCAGGCCAGTCGCCCCCCCCCCCGGCCCTGCCCTTTGCCCACGCCCTCCCGTGCCCATGCCCTCCCGTGCCCTGCCGTGCCCGTGCCGTGCCCTGCGTGCCCTGCCCTGCTGGAAAGAAGCGCGATGGCATGAAACCCCAAGACAAACGGGTTTTGGCGGCTTGGCCGCCTTAGACGGCACGTGGTCGGAAGGAACGAAGAGAAAAACCTTCGAACTTATGTAGACAGGGTTTCGCAGCTCATCGCCATAGTACAATGCACTCGACACAACCCTGTCGCAAGATGCAATCGCCTACGCGCTATTCCACCGCAAGCCCTAAACCCTACACCTAGATGTCGGGACATGAGCACAAACTGTCTGGGGAAAATACATGCAGATATGAGGAATTCTCTCTGATAGATAGTGCGAGCCAACATACATGCAAGCCAACTTGAGTTCCTGAGCACGAGCCCAGGATCATCCACTTCCAGCTCTTCGGTGCGATTTACATGGCTTCGGCCGTGGGAGCTATAACAGCCGAGAGGGAGCAAGTGGGCTACTGGGCTTTTGCTACGGAACTTGCTTACACTTACCATAACAGGGATCCATGGTGCACAACACAGCAGGGTTTCAACTTAAGTCACATTCCTTAGCAAGAGCCCAGGCTACTACATTGTGACCTTCGGAGCAAAGATCGCCTACTGTGCGACCTTTGTGTTCATCCGGGCCGATGAGTACCACAAGACCTTAACTGACGTCCTTCGAAAAGTTTCGGTCTCCAACGTGGGGATGATCAGTATCTTGCGTGGCAACTTCGACATCATCCTTCCCTGTGTCATGGATTCGGCGGGGCGCTGCAGGCTGCCTCAGAGCTACTCCGGGGACATGTTAAAGCTGGAGAAGATGCTTGGTAACTCCGTCGCCGGCCGAAACTTGGCGGATCTCCTCCATGAGCAAAGCGACAAAGTGGAGTTCACGCAGTATCTGCGTAACGTGGTGAGGCAGGCAGACTGCCCGCAGGCTTTCAGCGAGGCGACCTTGACGACCTCTGGGCTTTGGAGCTGTGGGGCAGGTGTGATGCCTCCCATTGCGCAGGTTCTTCACAGCAAGATGACGGGAGCATCCCAGGTACGACTCAACGCTATCCTTCACCTCTCAGTGGTGCCGCGCTCTGCCGTGAGCCATGGAAAGGAACGACACCTTGTAGCTGCAATTCAACTCACGGAGGCGGCGGAGGAGGAGACATCGAAGGAGTTGGAGCTGGGCTTCGAGAGTTTCAAGGCTTCGGAACGACAGACTTCCGCCACCTCCACCACCTTCACCGATGCTCAGAGTGGAATCGTGGCAAACTTGGCGGACCTCAACAAGCTAGGAGCCTCTGCGCTCCTGGGCTCCTCGGAGGAGGGCACTGAGGAGGGGGAGGGCAGTTGGGAAGGCTCCCAGAGCTGTAACTTCTCCCACTTCGGCGCCTTCCCTCAAGGCCTGGATGAGACCTCTGCCTTCGACGCCCGGATCTGTGGGCTCTGGGAAGGCACCACCAGCGAAGAGTTGGGGTCTTACACGCAGAAGGTTGAGTTCAGCCACGATTGCAAGCATGCTAAGATCTCGGTCATGGATCACACCTTGGATGCGCGCTTCCGCATGAACTGCTCGGTGGAACCCATGCAGCTGGACATCCAGGTTCAGGGTAAACCAGGGTAAACCTTTCTTAGAGATCGCCCTCAATGAATCTGCAGATCGGTTGAACTTCTCCCACGGAATTCCCTAAACCCTAAACCCTGGCATTGGGGGATGGTTGGGGGGACATTTTTCGCAGGTGGGCTCTGAGTTCAATTCTCCTTAATTGGTTGCCCCCCCCCCCATCGAGGTGATCCCATCAGGGGCGGATGAGTCGCCACCGCCGATCCCCTACATTTTCAAGCGCCTGGAAGGATGAGATAAGAATAGGGTCTAGGGTTTAGGGTTTAGGGTTCAGGGGGCTGAAGAATACGACGGCCAGTTGGATTCCTAAACGAAGTCAAGGCCAGCCGAAGACCTCCGATTTCAGATGTTGCCCGACGTGTTTTGAGGGCTTGCATTGCACCTGACCTTGACCAGCTGTGTTACATGGTGTCGTGTCCATTCTCATTGTATTCGACAGAGCCTGGCGGCTTTTTTTATCCATCATGCCCCGGTCTTTGCTTCACGGCTAATGTTTGCAGAGCAGTGTCCCTCAATGGTTCGTAGCATGCTAGACTTGTCGTGTTCAATCAGATCTATAACGTTTGTTCATGTGTATGCATCTATGCATGTATGTATGTATGTATGTATGTATGCATGCATGTATGTATGTATGTATGCATGCATGCGCATGTCATAGGAGGCTGTCTTAGTCAGCAAAGGTTCAATCCCGACGGCTCGCTCTGCTTGTGCGGCCCATCGGACAGTCGCTTACGCCGTCCGACAGGATTCAAAGGCCCTGGCCTGTGCATCTCATCTGACGGGGCGTTTAGGACTTAGGGTTCCCCCTAAAGGGCCCTTTACCCTAAACACTAAACCCTTGAGGGTTTAGGGCCTAGGGTTGGTTGAAAGTTTGTGGTCAGGTGGCAGGGTCTTTCACGATTCAAGATTACGTGCCCTTCAAGGTTGACCCGCGTGTCTCGAGGTTCAGGGTTTACGGGTCCAGATACCCAAGTTCTCTCGAATCAAGCTTGGGCCATCTTGGAATCTTCCTCTGATCGGAAGACAGACGTCCGAGGCATCATGCAGCGCGCCAAGCCTGAGATGACAAGGATGCTAGAATCAGAACCAGCGCATGCACCGCCGCTCCCGAAGAAAATTCACAGCTCGCCGCCTGAGCCTGAGCCAGAGTTTATGAGGAACTTCACCGAAGAGGCCCAACAAGAGCAACTCCGTATCCAGGAAGCTGCTGCAGCGCAATGGAGGGATCCAGCCCTTGCAGCATCCGTTGCCTTGGCCATCACCAGCACCATCATTGCTGTGCGGAAGTCAATTTGAGAAAGACCTCGGATCTACAGGGCACTGCCTACGCAAGAATTCAGTCTACGTTTCAAGCTTTTATTTTCAAGGGTCAATCCCCAGAGCAAGCGCCAGCAGAGAGCTGCATCACGTAGCCTCGTTTTGGCAAACTGCGTGGTCCCGCGTTCCATACAGGAAAATGCCAATGGGATATGTGACGTGGAATCAACGACATAGAACATCCTGCTGTCCAGCCGACAGCTCGAACTTGCCTGTTTACAGATTGGCGTTTTCATGCGGCCGGTGCTGGCTCTTAGGATCTTTGCACGGATGAACCGCTGTTCCAGCAGATGACGTCGTAGGAGTCTGCGGATCTCCATTCGCAAAGATGCCAACGAAGTTGCTGCATACCTTTATGATTTTTTTCAGGCAGCTTGTGGCGCTTCGCCTGGAACTGACGAGCACCTGGCAGCCATAATGCCTCAGTATTACCGTCAGGGCATGGTAGTAGGGCCTGTACAGACAAGCGCCGGTTTCAAGAACCGTGTGTTCATTGGAGTGAGCCTCATTGCGAAGCTTGATCGGCCAGTGCACCGGTCGGTTCTCTTGTGGCATTTCCGGGTCAGTTTCGCTGAGGCTACCTGTGCAAGCCACGTCTAAAACTCTTCCTTCAAGATCTGGTCTTGTCAATGCAGCAGCGGCATTCAGCAGCGGCTATCGTTTTTGGTTGCTAGTTGTCGGTGCATTCTACTTGCTAGCACTGTTCCCGTCACTTCGACCATTGCTGCCATGATCTTCAATTGTACGCTCGCGGCTTTCAGTTGTTCGCATTTCTAGTGCGACTCTTGTTCCAAGTCCTTTTTGTCTTCCCTGTTTGCTGTGTTGCCTCCTGCAGGTGGGTGCAGCACGAGCTCCAAATCGTTGCTCTAAGTTCTACTTGAGTGTCGATTCCGTGTTGTTGTCCTTGCAGCTGCTGCCTTTGTCACCATGGTTGCTTTTGTAGTTATACTTGACATTGCAACAGCACGCTTGCTAGTTGTCTTGACATAAAACATGATGTCGATGACGACATCACTCATGATGCTGGTGGTGATGGTAAACATGAAAGTGATTTGAAGAAACAGCTGTGATGCTCATGTTGATATTGATGACGACGACGACCATGCTGACGGCAGTACGACATGAAAGTCATAGTTGCCGTTCCTGTTTACGACTCTTATTACTAACTACCGGAGTAGCGGTTTTCCTTTTTGGTGTTTGCCCTGGTTAGTTCATTTCATCCTTTTCGTTATGTTGGTGACGATGAACGTGCTTACTTGAGTCTCATGGCAAGCACCAAGACTCTGCTGGTTGTTCTATGGTTGTCTTAACATATGCAATGATGATGCTGTTGGTGGAAGACGGACGATGAACATGAAGACGACTAGTAACATGATGGTTATGATGACGAAGAGGTGCATCGGCGTCTGCTCTACTTCCTGCTCGACTCTTCATGTATGATATCCGTCTTTCTCCCTTGAAGGCCTCTCTCGAAGCTTTGTTCAAGCGTGACTAGCAGGAGCCTAGGCATAAAATGGCGAATGCACAAGCCGGGATTCCCCCTCCGGGGGAGATGATGTCCCGGATTTGGAGCTGCTGGCCTTGGACAGCGAAGTCGTGCGTCACCGGGCTCTTTAAGAGGCTTCTTCTGTAAACCACGTTGACGGAACAGGCATCTCTCTCTCTCTCTCTCTCTCTCTCTCTATCTATCTCTATCTATCTCTCTCTCATATCTTAATGCATACGTATATCTATATCTATCTATGTATCTACCTATCT